ATTCTGCACTTTTGAAGGCAACCAAATGACTATGTCTTTTGAGGCTAAGAGTAGTGGAAGTGATAGTTCATGTCTACCCTAGGAGCTGCAATGATTAAAAATAATATCCTGACCAAATAGCCCATAAATTTCATCATGGGGACTTACATCATAGCTGAAAGAAAAAAAAAATCACAATTTGACAGTTTTAAAGTTCTGACTGCTGCTGCTTTGACATATTTTGTTTTCCTGGCCTCTTCTTGCATGACTATGCTTGGAAAGGACCCTTTCTCAGGGCAGGAGTGCTTTGGCAACTGGCAGAGGGAACAGAGCTAGTATTCTCAAACAAAGAAAATAATTGCAATAGATAAACTCAGATCAGAAGATATGAAAAGACAATTTAGGAAGAGAAAATGTAATCAATCATTTTAAAGGAGAGCAGCAATGTGTAGCATTGTCTCCCAATACTAAGAAACACAAGTGGTAAAATAGAGGAGGCAAATCATTTTGCACATCTTGCATATACCCAGTAATGTTATTTTTGCTAGTTACCAAACTCTTTTTATTTTCTTCTTCAACAAAAAAGACAAAATATCAGTGAGGTTTTCTGAACAAGTAATTAAATATTATGCAAGTTTTTTTTTTTTTAATTTATAAGAAATTAGTTAGAGGGCACTGGCAAGGCTGTTCCAGTAAACCCAAACCAACAGCTTTAAGAAACTGGGTAGTTTTGACATCTTTGCCAAACACTGAGCAAACTTTAACAAATAAAAAACAAATGAACAAACAAAAGACACAAGTGAACAAAAATCTCACCCAATGCTATTACCTAACCAGAAGCAAAATGACAAATAATTGTGTTACAAATGGTAGATCCATTGCGTGCTCCATGAAACTGGTCCCTTAGCCAGCAGTCAAACAGCATGAGAGAAGTTGCAAGCTTCCATGTAAGAAAATTCTATTGAGGTATGTTATTATGATAACAATATTTTAGTATTTGCAAAATCTATTGAAGCAATATCTAAGGATGTTATCTCGTAACATCCTTAGAAGTTGAACATGTGTTAAACTTCATCGCAACCTGAGCAGTTCTTTGAGGCAGCTCTGTGTAAAAGCAAAGCAAGAATATAAACAAGTGGAGATAGTGGAGAAGCTTAACAATCTTACTGAAAATCAAATCCATTAAATGAATGTATATTCTAGTTCAGGAACAGGTTATTAGGGATTGGTCCTTAACCTGTCATCACTACCTGCCTCTTCTTCCAGACCATGAAGATAATGATGCAGACTCCATAAAGGCATAAAGGAAATGGATTACTGGTGAAAAGGTGGGAAATAATTACTATAAAAATCAGATGTTTTTATGGTGGTGCTCACCAAGGAGAGTGTCAAAGAGACCTTTCATAGACAGGAGTCACAGCAGCCTCACATAAAATGCCGCAGAAATTCTACCGAGTTTATATGTTAAAAAAAAAAAAAAATGTTGCTGCAAAAAATTAGTCCCAAAGTGCTGCAGAACTCCAGAAGCATAGAGAATAGGATATAAAATGTGGAAAATAACTGGCTTTATTTTTATGCTAATGACATCAGCATCAGTAGACATTTGCTGTGATTTAGAGACTCAGCATATTTCAATAAACCAGGGTGACCAAAATGAGATTTTGTGTTAGAACAAATAGTGGACATGGCCACAGACCCTGTCAAACTGTAGTTGAATGCAGTCCTGGACTGTGTGGGCTGCTTGTCAGTGGTCACTGGCATGAGCCAATTTGTTGATGTTTGCACCAAACTGAGTGAAATTCCTATCAAGTAGTCTGTGGGATGAAACAGAGATTTTAACTCCTAGGTTAGACCTCTTGACAGTGCCCTATGAAGCCACAGCTCATATGTGTGGCTGTGGCACCTCTCATAGATCTCCAGCCTGCTAAATCCCTGTGTACCAATCCCATCACGCCCACAGGTCCAACTCAACATGGTATCTACAAGCCTCTTTTGGGGACATATGTGGTAAAAGCTGACTAGAATGACTTGCAGACAGTTCCCTCAAAACCGAGCATTATGCATTTGCTCAGGCAGAACAAAGGGTTAAAAATAAAACAGGTTTATGCTCATATTTCCACCAGAATACCTCTTGATGACTTGAAGTCACCCACTCATTTCTGCAAACACCACCCTTGGTGAGGGAGAGGTCGCTTGCTTTGCTGCAGACCACATCAGCTGAGGGCTGGGGTTTCTCAGTTTTTCTTTCTGTTAGCTGTGCTTTCTTTCTGTGTAGCTGTGCTTCTGGATCCCAGTTAGAACCTCCTTTGAAAGAAGGAGCTCTGGCAGTAACAGACACATACCAGTGCAGGTCCAGTACAGGAGGATGCATCCACAGGAGTCACTGTGTGGCCCTTGCAGATTGCACAGAGCCATGAAGTTCTGTGGCTACATCATTCCTAACACCCACACTAGGATAAAGCAAACTCACATCTGCATAGGTTGACCCAAACTTCACTGCTGTGGAGATAGTGAGAGTGAAAGATCACTGGAACAGGCTACCCAGAGAGGCTGTGGAGTCTCCTTCTTCGGAGAAGCCGYGGGCTCTAGGTGACCCTGCGTGAGCAGGGGGGTTGGATTAGATGACCTCAGAGATCCCTTCCAACCTTAAGCATTCTATGATTCTGTGACCTCATGGGGGGCTCTTCTCAAGCATATACACCCTTCTTCACATTGGTGAGAGCAGGCTGCATCTCAGCTCTGCTTTCCAGGCTAGCAGTTTAATTCTGCAGTCATGACTGAGATGTTACAGGTCTTGTGAGCCTCGTGGAGTGAAAAAGATTTAATCTCTGCTGTCTACAGAAAAAAAAAATTCTCTCTGTTATTGTTTGGCTTTCTTTGCCCCTCCAGTAGCCTCCTGACTTACTTAAACTCTTGGCAGTTAGATTGTTTGTTAAACAAATTAACATAAATGTGGTATTTATTAAAAACAAAATGAAACAAAACAAAGCACAATTCCTTCTTTCTCTTCAATATGGAAAAGTATGTTTATTTAACCTATGTTCAAGAATATTGGATTTTAGAAGAATTTTTAAAGATTGCATAGAGTTTTCTTCAGATTAGCGCAATAAACTAAAACCTACACCAGTGTGATGCAGAGCTGCAGAGCTGCCTGTGCACGACTGCAGTAGCACACAGATCCTCTCTTTCCAGGCTCATTAATATTTCAGATCATTCCATAGTGAACACCTACTCSTAGGAGGCAAAGCAATACGCTGAGGTTGCTTCATGGGCTGGAGTTGTGCTGTTTCCCTTCAAAGCCTGTCTTCCTTTTTCTGGACGAAAAGAAGGTAACCTTGCCTGCAGCTGAGCTGCCAGACTGTCTTTATTAAACTTTTAATAGAAACTAAGCCAAATTTCTTTGCTATGGTAGGGGAATTCATATGAGCTTTATTTTTGCAACAGCTGCCTAAGAGTAATTTTGCAATATGCAAAGATAGGGTGAGTTCACATGGCTACCCAAAAGTATTAAATTCTCCTTAGTAGCCTGGCTTGTCCTAGCTGTTTACAAAAATGTCTCCTTGGAGTCACTGGCCAGCAAAAGCTCCAGAGCAGTCCTCAGTTAGGACTTCCCAGTCCTTCACAAGGATTGTATTTCCTCACATGAACACTAGATTCATTTGGTCAGGGACAGCACCTGCCTCTTTAGGTAAAATTACAAAGAAAAGTGGTTTTCTTTTAAAAGAGAATAAATCTGTAGTGTCTTCAACCCCCTTTCCTAGCAAATCATCAGACCCCAACAGAGGGGAGAGATGATAGGCCAGAGAGAGAAACACGTAACTGCTGCTTCATAAATATTGACAGCACGTTACTGGAGACAGCACTGACTCAACAACAGGAACATTTCTTGTATTCTACACTGCATCTGCTTTTGGGAAACAATCCAAAAGTTGGTTTTGTTGAATCTAGGTGCCCTGGTACTGACTTCCTTCAGTAGCTAGTGTCAGTGTGCCATGACKTGTGGCGAACTTAGCTGTGTCACCATCCCCTTCTGCCCCTTCCATTTCTAAAAAACACCTGCTCTGCAAGAGAGAGAAGCAAAGCTCTGCTCACTTGTCTTCTGCAACCCATCATAGTTCTTTGAACTCTTGCTGAAGCTTGGTTTGCTCTGATGACCATTCCATGACACGTGCTGAACAATGTGCAGAGCCACCCCTTGTTCCTCCATCTCATCTGTGGAAGCTGAAACCTCCAAGCAAGGGCCAGGACAGACCACAAAGGGGAAATCAATAGCTCTATGTGCCATGGCCAGGGGCAGAGCCTCAGCCCGGGTGAGTCAGCTCCGCTCCAGCGGTACCAGCTGGAGCCCAGCGCTGGCTGCGCTCCTGCCCTGAGGGGCTGCGAGCCAAAGCACAAAGGCAGAACTGCCCAGCTGCCTGTCCTTATTTCAGCAAGGGCAAGACAACCAGCTCCAAAGCCTTGGCTTTAAACTGGCAGTGTGCTCCTTCTCCTCCCCACGCTGTGAAATGTTTTAACAAGCTGGATAGCGCTAAGACACATTTCAAGCCTTTGGGGTGTTCAGTCCAGTCTTTACCCACCTGGCAGTCTATCAAATATTGTTACCACCATAGTATTTCAGTACGACCAAAAAAATATGCTCGTCAACATCCATTTGGACTCTTATTTGTTCTTCTAATTTTATGAAATCTAGTTTTTTGTCAGTCTCACAAATGGGTTTTCAGTCTCACAAATAGGTTTTTGTTTACGCTGACTTGTAGCGATGACTTGACTTGTACAAATTCATTCAGATATTTGTGTGTAAGGGCAAGTGTTTGTTCATTGACACTTAGCACAGATGTTATAATCACTTGAGAAATAAAACCACTGAAACGCAAGTTCCACACGAGTCAAACAGGCAGAATGCTTGAAATAGACCGTTTAAAATACACTTAGACTGAGATTAGCCTGCATAAGTCATTTCTAAGAACATTAACCTATCCATTAGTAGAAATCAGTTTTGGTACAAAAGACAAAGGCCAAAATCATTAGATATTTTATTCACAATTARGATTACAGCTAGTTCTTTGCTACTAATAAGCAGCTTCTCCACTGTTTAGTGCTGAGAAAAAGCATCTTGTTGAATGCACAAAKAATTTTTTTTTCTCCCTAAGTTTTCCAGAGCTCAAAGCCTTATCTTATAGTATTGGACACTTCCTTATTTGTCCTCAGAACTTGGGCAACAGAGAAAAAAGGAGAGTCCTGTGGGGCTTGAAAAGTTATTTACTACATACATATCATAAAATCATATTCCTACCTTATTTATAAGACACCTCTTTCTACAGACTTCTGCTTAATGGTAAAAAGGCTGCCCTAGAAAAGGCTTGTTCTAATATCTGTAAATCAAATATTGAGTTATAAAGTACCAGACATGCGATGTATTGTTCCAGCGCATTTTAAAACACAGTTCTGCTAATGCTCTTTTTTTTCCCCATGACAAGGTTCACAAATCTACTTTCAAAAATTTAACTTACTTTGTTATTTAATTAAAAAAAAAAGAATTGGTGTGTTTATTTGTATGTTGCAACTCTTACATTATCTGAAAAAAAAAAGAGAAACATTACAGAATTTATCTTTCTTTATCAATATGCTAAATCAGCCTCCATATTTTTCAGCCTCTAAGCAAGAGCATAATCAAACTGGCCTTTCTCCAGTCCATCAAGTCCATCAGCCCAGGTKGAGGTCGGCATACTCCGGTAGGGGTCAAGGAGAATTCGGAAGCAGCGAACAATGAGGATTCCCAAGAAAACAAACAGTAAAATCACAAAGACAAAGGTGGTTTTCTGTTCCAGAGTCATGCTGGAATCTGGTGGCATGCTCCCTGGTGGCAACAACGTGGCAGCRAATATCTCTCCCTCCATCATCCAGGAAAACTGAAAGGAATAATCCCACAGTTTCCTCCTTCTCATCATCAGTTGGCTGCAGTCAAGGTTGAGGCCATTCAGATGCGCTTGATTATCTGTAGAGCAAAGTAGGAAGCAACATTAAATGCGGATGCCCCCTTGTTTAATTCCTCTGAATGGTGAAAAAGGAGATGGGGAAGAGTTTGACAACAGTCTTGCATGTCTCAGTGTCGTAAACTAGAGAGCTTTTATAAATCCTGCATGCTTCTGCTGGCAACATAGAGAGGAACCACTGGTATTAATTGCAGCTAGACCTGAACTCTGTCATTTCTGTAAAGAGGACAAATTGAAGGCCTTCACCACACCGTTCTGATTGACTACAGAAATTGCAGTCATGAAGCAAACTGTGCTTTTTGGCATAACAGAAAAACAGCAGTTTGGATACTGAGCTGAGTTAGCGGGGTGAAAAAAAGGAATGTAACTTTGGTTTTACTCAAGGGAACCAAAACTGTTTTGAGATGGGATGGAGCAGGACCTACCGCAGGCCAACAAAATGCACGCATCTCCAAAAGAGCAGACTGACACCATTGGATGCACATRGTTGTGCAGTGTTTTGGAAGGAAAAACATAAATACTATGTCTTTGAAATGATAGAAAAAATGTTCAGGAAGGCACCCTGAAATAAGTACTACTTTTTCTCAAGAAGAAGTAYTTTCTCTTCTTAAAATCACATTAGGTTTTATAAATGCAGTTAGCAGCAAATGGTTTTAATGTCATCTGCTTTGTAGCATCAAGAAGAGCACTRGGATTTGGGCCTGGGCTTGGAAATTTTCAGGCTGCACAGCACAAATTATGCTGCAGCCTACATGGCACTTCTTGACTGGCTTCCCTGACTGTCTGTCCAAATTTCTGACAACCTCACTCGCTGCGTTATTGTACACTGGATTTTCTGAAAGGAAGCATTGCTGGATTGCACAGTTTAGATCTGTCTTTTGGTGCCATTAAAATCATCTGCAATGTCTGCTCAGGAAAAGGAAGTGTTCAAACCTGGCTGAAAGAGACCTACCATTGCCGTGCCACTGCCTGCTATGTTTTATCTCCAATTACTGACTCATGAAATCCATATGAGGGGTAATGGCTACATACAGACTTAACCCTGCATTGAACACCTTGGGATCTCAGCAGATATTGCATTAATGGTAAGCAGAGTGAAAAAAAAAGGAACAGAGCAGAATGCAGTAGATAGCACGCACAAGCAAAACTTTTAAGTAATTATAAATGATATGTCATTGGACTGGGGTCAGTAATGATTCATAAGTATGCATCAGTAAAAATGGTTAGTAGGTATAAGTGGATTAAGAGAGCACAGTCATATTGGTATATTGTGAGGATTGTTCTGAAAGTCACTGTTCAAGCAACACAGAGAAAGCATTTAAGCAATACAGATACCAGAACTGCACSGTTATTGCCTGATTTAATTTGTCTGAAATGATGGGTAGGTGAAAAAGATGTTAATTAAAGTCCTTTGAGAGAGTGTTTTCAGCTACTAACTGATAAAAAGCACAGAGGATTGTCTAACAGGGAAAGCTGAACTTTAGGGAGAGCCATTTTAATAAGGCTGCCGCATTTTCTGTGATGCTGATGAAAGAGTGATTCCTAATGATAAGCAATTTTGCTATAAAAAGGACAAAAAGCAGAGAAATTMAAACAGAAGTGCAACCTTGGTGCAGTGATTCTGCAAGTGTTAGCTGAAGATAATACTGCCCCCTTCTAAGAAACCTCTGTTAGTCTGATTTCAGGAAACTCTTCAGCATGTACATTATGCCTTTTTTGTCTGTCAACAGACAGATTTTTCTGTCATGCATTTTAACGCAGCCTTTCCTAAAGCTGCAGTTACAAGATATAGTGTATTGTGCTTGCTGTCAGCACAGATTTGAGCATTTTAGGAAAGGTTTTCCTGGCATCTCTCTAGGCATTACCTAAATATAGTTAGAAAATGTATGAAAAATGGAAAATTTGTGTCAGTCAAGAATGATCAACTTTTGACATGCTGATTTTAAATTCCAAACTTAGAAGACACACATGACTTTTAGTACACAATTTCTTCCCACCTTTTGAAGAAACTGGATTTAAGGAAGATATGCATATTTTGTGCCTGAGTGATAAGCCAATGCTGCTCATTATTTTCCTTTAGGACCTGAACAGGAACCCAAGTGGGGTAATGCAGAGAAGAGCCACATATTCATTCTCATAYCAGTGAGCACTATTGACTAATTTTATGAATCAGCAGAGATGTCAGATTATTTTGCACTTAGCAGCTTTGTACATTCAGACTGCTAATTATCACCCTATAGATGATATGCGGCAAAATAACAGGACTGCATTGCGAGGCTGAGATGAATCCATTTTCTAAGGCTTTGGGCTTCCAGCCAGCCTGCTGAGGAGGCTCCTTACGCTATGTTCATTACACATTTGGGGGGCAATGGTATGGTATGGTGCCTGGCACAACAGCATCCTTTGTCCATCCTTTGAAGYAGAGTGTGGACTACTTCTCCTGCAAGTTACAACTTTAATGTGATCATTAACAGTTTCTCTAACTGGCGAGGTGATGTTTTAACTGTCCCCACTGAAGAGGCACACAGATGCTTCAGAGCTAAGGACATTATAACTGGGTGTAGCTAAAGGCAGAAGCTGTAAATTGGGGCCCTGGAAAAGCTTCAGGCCAGCAGCATGAGCTGCCACTGCAGGGTTTACCCTGCCATGAGAAAGCAGAGCCTAGCCAAACTGCACATTGGTCTTGTAGCGTCCATACGGGCAGYAAACAAACCCATCCTCAGCACTAATCCAAGGCTGACAGGGAAGACAGAAACCGGGAAGTGGGTGTGAAGGAGCTGCAGAGGTAGCCAAAAAAGTCCTTCCAACTGTATGAGGGAGATTTCTGCTTCTCATCCACCTCTAAGGTGGGTTCCAGGGGGCAAAAGATGAATTAAAGAACATGAGGCCTGATATGTATCATATATGTATGCATACAGGCAAAAAAAACCCCAGTAATCTACAGATCATAGGAAGTCGATCATAGCAACWAGATCATGGCAACTAGAAGAAACCAGATATTAGCAATAACAATAACACACCCTGAAAGTGTTTCTTTTTAGCTTCTTCCAATCACTTAAGATTTGGACCAGATTACTGTATGGGTGGAAAAGCCTCAAGGATGTTTAAAAGGAGAAGCTGAGGTAACCAAGGTCCCTCCACGTGCTGAGCTGCCTTTTTTTTTTTTTTTCATTTTAATTGGCTAAGATAAAATTTTAACTGGTAAAACAAATAGATTATCCTTCAAATGAAGGACTAGCCCTGCCTCCTTTAAATGCAGATATGCCCTGTTCAATTACTTGCTGTAATGGGTTCCTTACAGGTGCGACTAATGCTTTGTTTAATGAGTACACACTTGCACATCATTCTGTCCACATCAGGTTGCTATTATCACTTCTCCTTGCCAGCATGCACTCATTCGTTAGCTAGTTTGATTATAGGTGTCCCTGAGGTGGTGCTTAYAATACGAGCAAGAAATGCAGAAAGAGGACGAAACCTGCATATTATTAATAGCATCAAATAGGGAAATCATTGGCACGTCCTGAGAATTAATATCTTTCATACAGTGTCAGGAGCCAATTTGCAACCCGGGAGCTGAGCCATTAGCATAAGACCTGGTCAAAAGGCAAGTTTTCTCACCAAGAAAAGCTGGTTTTCTCACCAGGCCGCTAAGGTTTTTGAATTTAAAATGTCAGTGAATTAATTAGTTGGCTGCATTAGCAACTCTTTGATAGAGGGATGCAAATTTTCAGGATTCTAAAGAGTTAAACTTATTTAAATCACCTTTTCTGTGCTTTCAGCATTTCATTTCTTTCCAAATTGATTAAAATCTGCTATTAAAAGGATTTCCTTGCACTCAAAGCTTAAAGCTTCTTTTTTTGAAAAATATCAAGATGTAGTGAATTTCTTTGAGATCTGCTCTCCTAGTAACAACATATTTACAATTAAATATGTAATTCTTTATTCTTTTGTTTAAATTGCCCCATTTATTACCATATGTTACATAAACAGCATTTTGTTTTGACACCTATATGGATATATTTTTATAAGGAAAAGCTGTTGTAAATTTCTGAGCAGCAAACATTACAGATTGTAGAAAATCACATTTTCTCAGTTTGCTGATTAGGATCTCATTTTTACCATTTTCCCACTTCTTCCATTGTACATGTTTGTAAGCCCTCCTGTTATGTTATTCATGCAGCTGTGATATGGTATGACTAATACTCTGTGACAGGTGACAGAAATTCCAGAATTTATCTTCAGTTAGCATAAATTGTTCCAATATAGTCTGAGGTACATGTAGTTTAGCATTACTTGTCCTTCATCTTTCCAAAATCCTGAAGAACAAGTTACTCAATAAGTTATTGAAGGCATCCAAACTAAAATGTGTCACATACAATCGAGTGTTCGTGAATTTAAAATAAATGATAAATACATTATTATTAAACATGAAACATCCTCTAGTATCCACATATATTTTTTGCTATTGACAAGTAATAAACTCCATAACTCTTCCATATAAATTATCTGGAATCTGACCAGCAAAACACTCTTTGATTCACAGGGAGGAACAGTTTAGTGTATTTAAACTGAGACTAGAATCAAGGCCAAATTTTCTGTTCCTGCAACTAGCTACCAACCCCTGACTTAATTGCCACTGGCCTACTTGAACTTTTGGCTCTCTAAAATTCAAATGACAACAATTACAAATCAAGCAATAAGTGCTTCAAGGCTAAGATTAAACAGATTATTTTCCTGCTTTAAAATAAATGAATAAAATCAACGTCTGAGGACTTCTTGTTGTTGTTGCTGTTCTTATTCACTCTGTATTTTTGGGCTTAATTTACAAATGCAGAGTGTGGATTTATGGTGCTTCACAACATATGTCTGATATGTAGGTATCCCATGTGAGTGGAGCAATTGGGTTTCCATTATGGAATATCTCCTGGAATGTAGCAGGCAGGCAATTGTGCCAAGCCCATGTGCATGATTTTTCCTATACCTCCCATACTAGTTTGACCGATTAGTCACTTCCTTAGCTACAAAAATACATGGCAAGTCCCTTCGGGCTCAGACATCTATACACAAACTAGTCAAACAAAGACGTTTCCATTCATTCACAGCTCAGTTGCTGTGATAGGCATTTTAAACCTACTTTGAATAAACAAAATTTCATTACAAAAAGGTACCAGGCTAACACATGAAAGTACATGTAGCCTGCTCTTTTATCCGTAAGTGCCTGGTTTCCTCTGCACTGTATCCTGTTCTGTTTCTGCCAACAGTCACTGGACAGGCTAAATGAAAATAGCAGCGATGCTCTTTTTGCCCATACTTCATCCTTTTCATCTCAAAAATTTGATGTCAAACCATTGTTGCCCTTCCCCTGCAGACAAATATTTATCTTCTTCTCAGCATGTTTTCAAGACAGGTCCTCATGTGGCATTAGACTAGTTGGTGCTCTACTCTGCTGTTGACTGTGTTAAAGCGAGTTCATGGGGTTAACACCAGCAATAAGATAATGATAGAAAGGGAGCTGCTCAATTATTTATTTACTGTAGAGCTTCTCCAATATCATATAAACTTGATTTTGTCTTCTGCAATGCTTAAAATAAAATTTTACCTTTGAGGGGCACATACAGTATTTGCAATTCCTGCACCCAAATTGTGTGAGGAATATATATACACAAAAGATGCCAAAGCTGCTACAGAAACTTTGCTAATACAAATACATTTGCTAGTTTTTGCTAGTATTTGCTAGTTTTATGGAATATTAGATGTGAACATCTGAAGGTATGGATTTGTGAAGCAACCTTATATTAAAACCTTCCAGGAATCTGTGTGATGTTTTGAAATATGCAAACAAACTCTGTACACCCTTCTCTTCAAATGAGAGATTACAGATATACAGCATCAGTATTATAACTCTTTTCTCTGTGAAACAGTGTGTAGTAGCAATAAGATAACCACAAATGCTAGTGATTGAAAGCCAGTAATGTGCTGAATATCCTTATAGGCTGGATCCCACATGAATCAGCAGGTAGAATTTGCTCTCTTAATAGTTACAAATCTTTGTAAAAAAAGCTGCAGCTGAAAATGACATGAGATGTATTTTATACCTCCTTTTCCTGCATTACTAAAAGATGAATTGTAATGTGCTTTCCAGAAAAAAAAAACAGGGAATATACAACAATCTGATCAGTATTTATTCATTTAATTGTTATAAATATTAAATCTCAATGTCATTTTTCTTGACCTGCTATGTAGGAGGTACTGTATACAGACAGTATTACTGAATAAATGCAATATAAAGGTTACAACTTTAAGCAAAAAAAAATAAGAAAAATTAGATAATCAATTTCTGTTAAAAAATACCTTCATCTAGTCGAGAGAGAACTTGACCCATTTCCCACTGCAGCAGTTACAGGTAGTTACAAGTATCTTTAGTTTCCATTCTTCTGCACCTTCCTGTATTTCTAAGCATAAAGGATCAGGGACTGCCAAGGAACTGAGGAACACCCAATTTCCAAAGCCGTCTCTCAAAGGCTCTGAATTTCACACAGAAAAAAAAAAAAAAANAAAAAAAAAGAAAGAAACAAAGTTGAATGAGAATCCTATTTGTGTGCTAGACGTAATTAGCTGACAATACTGTCGTTTCTTTAAAGTGAGGCTATAATTTCGGTTCTGCCTCAGCAACTCTTCAATGGATTCTGCCTCACTGAGTGCAGCAGTAGCCTCACAGCCTGTCTCAAACCATCTTCAGCAGAACATTAACATTCAAAAGGTGTACCAAAAGGAAAAAAAAAAAAAAGGAAAAAAAATCACAGGGTATTCCCGTACCTTTGCATAACCAAAGCTGTGAATCTACCATTGTTTTTCTCTTCTCTACTGACTGTTATCAGTGATCTGTCTTTCTAATGCCAATTAACACTCCTTTTATCAGGCAATCTGAATATTGATTACAATTTTTGACCTTCAGCCAAATACCTTAATCCCTTAGGAAGAAAAGCAGTGGGACATATGGATGCCAGTGGTACACTTTCTTCAGAAATACACTGACCTTGCAATGGGAGAGAAGATGCTCACCAGCATTTACTGCCTGGCTCTGGACTTACAGCTACAGCTTTTTGCCCTRGGAGTTTTATTTGTTGCCAGTTAGTAAAGCTCACTTTAATACAGGTGCTTTTTATGTTGCGAGGAAAAGCAAACTGACTAAAGCAAAAAGCTCCCTAATTTCTTTCCTACAAGAAAAATAAAGTTGGTTTTAAAATATCAGATAATATCAGGAAAAAAAAAACATAGTAAAAAAACATTTTTTAAAAAAAGTCCTCTGAATTTCTGCTTAACAGCCAAAGACACATGCATACCAAAATACTTCAGGGTTAGAGAATGTTTTAATCCTGTATTTTGGTGTCTCCCAGAGCAACTGCATTTCTAGACACCTCATATTGTCATAACCTCCCCAAAAGGTTTCTGACAAGTACAAGAGATTTGAAGGTCAAATCTCATCAACTGTTTTATTTCTCTGCCCCTTGCAGATTTTCCTGCCAGTTCAGAGCTACTCCTCTTGGAGGGAGGAAGGACAGCCATGGGAAGCATCCTTAGTTTCAAAACAGTACGTCTGCCAAATACTGTGGAGCAAGGCATGATCTTGTGCGAGTAATGGGACAAAATATGCTTTCAGACRGGATGCAAAGGCGCCTCCTTGACTGCCACAGTGCAAACACATTCAGGCTATGGACACCCACATGGACCCCAAAGACACCCATGCACATAGGCTGCACAGGCCACATCTTTTCGCAGCCTGCCTTTCCAGGCTCCTGATGTTGTGAAGAGCACGGGCCAAGTCTCGGTCCGCCCCGTCCCGGGCAGGGCAGGCCGGTAGCAGGGGCTGTGCAGGACGCGGGCCTGGCGCACACGCTGGTGCTGCGGCCGGTGCCTCTCTGCCCCACAGCCACACACGYGCACGACGCAGTGCAAACCACGAGGTGCCCTGCTTCGCCACGTGCACACCTCGCCGCCAGTCATCGCCCTGCTGCCGTGGAACGCACTGCAGAGAGGGCTTTTCAGTTCCTCCTTCTCCTCGGTGCACATGGACACCCCAGGTGAGAGTCCGGTGCTGTCCACTGTATCCCCTGAGGTCCTGAGGCTCTCAGTCCCCCAGATTACATTCAGAAAGGGTCTTTTTAGGCCCTTTCAACCACTTTCCTCAAGTGTTTCCCAGCCTATAACTTCCATTTAATTCTTCCTCTTTATTTTTTCCACTTTCTCATCCGTAAATCTTTAAGATAAACTAGATTTGATCCACCCCTTTGTTACAATAAGCAAACTCTAGTAAGATACCGATCAAGATTTAGTAATCCTTCCTCCCTCTCAGTCTGGAAGATTCATGATAAGACTTGATGAAAGAAGATAGATCACATTCCCAGAAGATTCATGACAGAGGGATTTCATAACATCAGACAGAAGTTTTATACTTCGCTTTTGAGCTCTCACATAYTATACAGAGCCTTACAATCTTTCTAGCATGTTACTACAGCACCACGGCTCTGCAATCCTGACAGGCTGATGTGCCTTGTAGGTGGTACCTTTTGTGTCATGAAGAAACTCTTCATCACATAGTTCCTTGAAAATGATTTACATTGAGATAAAGTTTTCATATTCTACATCCACCACACAGTACTAAGAAGCTGGGGAACAAGAAGCTGAGGAAGAAGCCTGTAAAAAAGAAGGGCATGATTCATTTCTTTCAGGAAGACAGCTCACAAGAATATGAATCCATAACCCCTGAGGGCACTCTCTCAGTGGGAAGATTGGCTCCTATCACTTCTTATGCATTTTAGTTTGAATAAATAGCCACTGGATTAAAAAAAAATAAGAAATAGTTCTGGGAGCATAAAAGCTGGAAGCTGCTGCCTCACTATGTGAGCTGGACCCCAGAGGCTTATGTAGTCCTCTTCCTAAGATCCAGTCCCAGCAAGGGACAGAAAGGAGCTGGGAATTAAGCAGAATAGCCCAGAGCTATGCCAGGACAGGAGGACAGACTAGTGGCCCTAGACCAGGAATGTCAGGGCTCTGACTGATGTCTGCAATGGGTGATGGAGTTTGTCCTTCTAGAACTTGCAAGCAAGTAAAGTCCCTGAGATTTTTCCATTCTTACTTGATTTAAAAAATCATGCTGAGTGTATGTCCAGTAATATTAATAACACTAGTAAAGCAAGTAAATATCAGAAACACTGGTATTTCAGCTAATTTCCTACAGCACTAGTAATTAAATTCACTTGAGGATCTATCTACTTATTTAATGGGAAAGTTCTTTTAGTRCTCTTCAAAGAAAGTTTTTCTCAGCCAATATCATTAAAATATTTTCTGTAGCCTTGATTTGCTTTGCTATAAAGTTGTGCTTTTCTCTTGATAACTTTTTGAAAAAGAAGACTTGAAGATAATTACGTTTAATATTTACATGGGCTTCAGTTCCAAAATCTATATCCGTTTTGAAAAATGTAAATAAAGGCAGCTTTTGAGGGATCAGCCAGATTTTGATTAAAAGCCATAAATGCAATGCTGAGACGCTGACTGCAACTCAATGATGTTTCTGCCAACGTTTTAAGATGCTGCTGGCTTTGCCCACGCACAGGCCTGTGACTTACTTTCTGTAGGAAGGAGGGGGCCCTCCAGTCCCGCTTCACCCCGTTTTACACGTTTTACAAGCACTGCATGGGTGCCTCTTGCACTGAAGCCGGCGCCCCACTTGCAGCTCCTCTTCCTTCCACCCTGCTGCCCTCTCAGGAGTGCAGGGGACCCGAGCTGCCAACCTGCTAAACGGGAGCTGACAACACCAACCCTTTTCTCTGGGAATTACCATCCTGATCTTTTACCGAGCTGCCCAGCTCTCCTTGCTGATGGCACAGCAGGGCTTTTCGTGTGATGCAGGGCAGAAAGCTCACAGCTGCTTTGGAAGCAGCCCCTCCACCCAAACAGCTTTGCCCTTCTCCCGCAGGAGGCAAGCCAGATGGACTTGGTCCACAGGCCAACTGAGTGTCCCGAGTCTTTGCTGCAGGTGTCTTAGCCGCTAGCACCTGGTGGATTCCTTCCCTATCACACATGTTGGGCTCCTCGGAGGAGCATCACAAAGTCAATCAACACCTTGTTCGCTGCCACAGAGACAGCTCGGGAACCTCTCAAAGACCACAGAGATTCTCCATCCTGCTCCTCCTTCCCAGATCCCACAGCACCACCACACCTCCTTACAACCATCACAAAAGACATTTGGAAAAATAAATCCACTCAATATATTCATATSTCTTCTTTGTCAACTGTCCCATCCTCTCAAGAAGACTTCTTGGTTTGTCTCCACACAGGGAAATTTTCTTCATCAGGCAGGGGAAGGTACCTGAATATCCTTCTCAACATAGAAAATGAMAATGTCATATAGACATTTTCAGAACAGAAGTAGTAGGCAAGCAAAAGGATTCCTCACTCCATAGTAAAACTCTTTAGAGCACAGATTTCTCCCCAGGAGCAACCTCAGAAGCAGGCAACTTTCTCAAACTCTCCCTGGCCTGTCTATCTAATGCTTTTAGGCTGAAGTTTCATACATGTGRTCCCAAGTTGTTTTTTCCAGGGCAAATGCTTGAGCAACTCCATATATGTTCAGTTTGGTATAGTAAATTATATTCTTGTGGGACCAAATAAAATGAAAGTAATGAAAAAGCTGATTGTTTAAAAACGGTGCCACAGCTTACTTGATACCAATCACTTACTTCTGCCACGTCAAAGTGGGAATGATAAAGTGTTCATATCTGTYGCACCTGGAGTACTGTGTGCAGTTCTGGGCTCCCCAGTRTAAGAGGGTCGTGGAGCTTCTAGAGAGGGTTCAGCGAAGGGCAACAATGCATCTATGGTATGAGGAGAGACTGAGTGAGTTGGGTCTGTTTAGCTTGGAGAAGAGAAGGCTGAGAGGGGATCTGATTAACATGTTTAAGTTCATGGAGGGAGAATGTAGGGAGGAAGGGGTCAAGCTCTTCTCAYWGGTGGCCAGTGACAGGACAAGGGTCAATGGGTACAAGTTGAAACACAGGCAGTTCCATCTCCAGGTGAGGAAGCACTTCTTCCCTGTGAGGGTGCCAGAGCCCTGGSACAGGCTGCCCAGGGAGGCTCTGGAGTTTCCTTCTCTGGAGATCTTCCAAACCCTCTTGGATGCCGCCCTGTGCCCCGTGCTCTGGGTGTCCCTGCTGGAGCAGGGGGTTGGACTAGGTGATCTCTAGAGGTCCCTTCCAACCTTGAACATTCTATAATTCTGTGACAGAATCTGAGACAGAAATAATATTTTAACTGTGATTAAATCAATGACTGGGCAGCTTCCCTGCTCTCCTGTCCCAACCTATGTAAGTGGTCATTCGTTGGTACCATCTATCACTGCCATCTAGAACACCAACCCGCACAGAGACATCTAATCTGGGAGGCTGGATCTCCACTTGGCCAGGGAAAACTAAGAGGTTTAGTTTTGCATTCAGCAATGTTCCTATKCCTATTCCAACTGCCAGTGTCCACATCTG